CCTTATAACTATTGCAAGCATAGATAATATGGTTGCTGTTAAGGCAGACTTGGCCTTTTTTAAACAATATGACAGAAATCGAATGATAATTATTTTTAAACTGAAATATCTCAAAAACGGCTAAACGCAATGTTAATAAACTATATGTTTTTGAAATCAGATGAAAAAGATCTACGATCTAAGCTAGTAATACATAGGAAATTCCCTAAAAAGGTGCTGCCATTTTGACAGCTTGCGATCGTGGTTCGTTTTTGCTGATATTTGCATAAGATACGAATATATATAGAAGAATACAATACAGAAATTATTTTAAAAGCACCTAGATTTTTAATCAAACCTTAAAAAAATGATACTTAATCCATTATTATAATACCAAAACTTCATGTATAATACCTACTCCCAACAGTCTTAGTTTGATAACACATTTTACAAAGCAAAACGTGACGATTTTGTGATGTTTCTGTATATTTGATTTCTACACTTATATTAGGGACTCGTTATCCTAACAACAATAGTTAACAAACTTTAACAATTGCACCATATCCAATTCAAATTTTTAGCTCGGCGTGACGTCATACCGCGGTCTGTTGTATAGTGCTATTTAAAAATCTTCTGGATTCCTTCTGAATCGAACTTGCTGACGTTTCGCCAATCATCCTGTTGGCTTTTTCAGGGCTTAAATGACTTTGTTCCAGAAGAGTGTTTGTCAATAGTACTACAGTAGATTTTGAAAGGTTCTTTGGAAAAGTGAGCGATTTAAAACGGTACTCTGTGGTTTTTAAAATAATTTTTAGCCTTCCAGGTAAATAAAGAATCCCGTAAAGGGAAACGCGAAAACGAAAAAAAATGTCGCCTAATTATTTGTGGAAATTGCGTTTTTTTTTTTTCATTCTTTCCGCCAACAATTTTTGTACTTGACGTCCCTTTCCAAAAAGCTTAACTTATAAATTATAAATGATCACCCTTTGCAAAATTTCTTAGGATTTACGGAAATAGTGCTCCATTTTTTTAAAAGAAAGAGTATACAGGGTGAGTCATAAATAGAGTAAAGATTATGTTTTGTGTGGCGGTTTGCAGTTCCCGAAAGAGTGGCACCCACGCAAACTGAGCCAAGCGTCTCTCCTATCTCAAAACTTCAATCGAATGAGAAAAAATTTCGGCCAGTGTTTCGGCTACCCGCCCATGCGGGATTCGATGCCCTAGGAGTGCCGGAACGTCGTCGTCTATCTTCTTCGTCACTTTATTCGCCACTATCACCACCACTACTTCCAACACCACCATCACCGCGACCTCCATTCTGCCAAACTTTCGCGTGGTCGCCTCAAGATCGTTACACTATGGTCTGTGGTAAGGTGAGAGAGAGAGAGAGAGAGAGAGAGAGAGAGTTCACGCGGAAGCATAGGTGCTCTTTCTTTTTTTCGGACCCTTCGCATGCTAGGCTAGACGGGCAGTTGTTGTCAGCTGAAAAGTTAAAACACTCTTTGAAAACTCTAAGAAAAATGCTAAAGAAAATTTTTATGGATAATTTTTAAAATATCATACTAGCACATCCTTTAAGTAAAAGTAAAAGTAAAAGTGAACATTAGTTTCATTTTGAATAAAATAATTTTTAACTAACACGTTGAGAATTTCGAATAAATCTGAAAACTTAAGATGTTTGAAAATTTAGTTTCTTTTTTCTCGGGTTACTCTTTTTAACAAAAGCCCTTCATTAAGTAGAAGTAGAAGAAAATAACAATGTAAAAAACAAACTGTGAACGTTAGTTTTGCTTTGAATAAGGTGCGAAACAAAATAAAAGGAGTACAAACATAAAACGAACAACAAAAATAACAATATAGAAAATTAACTGTGAAAATGGAAGACATTTAAACTGTCTCTCAAAATTTCGGCGAGGCTTGATATTTTTTTTTCTTAGAAACTTGGAAAAATCTAAATATCAACAAAGTTTATTTTTTAACGAAATAATGGTGTTAATTAATCAGATTTTTTATTTGTTTAATGAATAAATCGCCTTGTAGAATATTAAGGTATTTAAATGAGGTTTTTTGAAAAAAATAACTTTTAATGTATATAGAGCTCGAGGCTTTCAAAAAAATTGATAAAATTATAATGGCATTTCGCGTTTTTTTTTTTTTTCTCGAAAAGTTAAGGTTTATTTTTTTACCAAAGAATGTAATTAATTAGGCTGAAACGATAAAGAAGAAAGGAAGTAATTAGAAAAAATACACAACAACAAAAAAACGAAAATCGCGATGAAAATATCAAAGAAAATAACGTGTTTGAAAATTAAGTGCGCACTATTTGGAAAAAAATTGTTTGTAATATCTGAGCAGTCTAAAAATTTCGAAAAAATAGAAAAATTCGTGTCTTTTTTTAAAAAATCGAAAAATATAAATATCAACGCGTTTGATTTATTTCACGAAAGCATGTTTCTAATAAGGCTAATTTTTTTATTTACCAAATCATTAAATCACCCTGTAGAGTATTGAAAGAAAAAATGATACAGTTATAAAAAACGAAGAAAATGATTTAAAAAATCAAATGCCAAGGGAAACAGCAGATTAATACAGACGAAAACCGTGAAGATAATATAAAAGGAAATAACAGCATAGAAAATTATTAAAATAAAAACTTCTTTATTATTCTTTCTTTTATTTACTTGCATATATAAAACTAACCAGAACTAACCAAAATTAAAGGCACGACGGACTTTTTAATAATAAATAAGTAAATGCTTTACTTATTTAGCATAAAGCTAAAACAGAAAATAATTGTATTTACACTTTAAATATACATTTAAATAAGTATAAAAGTACAAAAGTACACTGAACAAGAGTATATAACAGCAGAAAAATTATTTAAAAAAAGATTCGAATAAAATTTCAGACAATACATAATTTTTAATTAAGGATGAAATCAGTACGGTTTCTAGTGTTATCATTTTATTTAAACAAAAAAAAATTGAAGTAAAAAATTTACCCGTTTGGTCTAGTAGGCGAACTCCATAGAGCGTCGGGTGCTATAACGACGCGAATGGAGATTCTTGCACAGTGGATGGGAATGGATATGGTTAAATACGTGTTGATGAAGATGCGTCCCCCCTTTCTTGCCCCCCACCGCCTTGCGTTTTGTGGCTTACATATATATAAACTACTGTTGTGCACCCTCTTGTCTGTCGAACCCCCCGCCAGTATTTTCCCCCCGTATCGATTCATATACGACTCTCTCATATTGTGCTTTTTGAATTGATCATCCATTTCATCTCCAGAGTATCATCGAGTATATACCTTTTATCTCTCGGCTGTGGCGTGTGTTTACTATGACGTTCATGCGAGGTCGTTCGGTTTTCAAGGTCGTCTCGTTTGACCAGCGAACTCGATCTCTGGATTTGGCAATTTAACGATAGACAAAGGAATGGGGATCGTTGATTATACTGGAGCATATTCGTTTTGTGATACTTTAGTTACCGATGTCCCAAAAATTGAAAAATAAGTAACAACTCATTTAAACAAAAATGTCATTTAGAAGTTCAACAATTTATCTACAAAATCTCTTCTAAAATATTTTCCTTATAATATATACCAAATTTAGTACTTCAGAAATTCTAATACGACTCTCAAAGTGAATCGTGCATTATTAATCATGGCAATGATATGCGACAAAACCTAACAATTTCAAAAATTGTTTATTTTTTATTAAAAACTATCAGTATATCATCAGCTTTTAAAAAACTCAAACAGGCACAAAAATTGAGAGATAACACACTGCAATTTCTTATCTGCAGATAGTATCAACGCGTATGACAAAAAAAACGATCCCCATCGTCGCTAACCGTCACTACATTTGACATCGAATTCTGAATCGACCTCGCGCTGCATATGCATGTATGTGGCGGTTTTCGAAGTTTTTTTGAAAATTTTTTGAGCAAATCTGCATCCGCATGAGTACAAATAGTTTTAAGAATTTGAACGAGAACGGTTTTTACGATTTTTAAATACATTTGGCAACGTTTAACAACAACAAAAAATCGACGACCCACGGGGGTTTGATCCACCGTTAAAAAAAATATGTAGATTTTATTAATCGATAGTGCGCTTAAAGTAGAAGAAAACTTCAAAAAAATAAACGTATTTAAAAAAACAAATTTTCGAAAAAAAAAAATGCTCCGCTCGTGGGTTTGAACTTGCGTCGTCGAGGCACTAAGGATATCGATAAAGCCAGAGACGCGAATTAAATGGCACAGAAAATTTCGAACGCAACAAAAAGTGATCGCATTTTCACTTTCATAAAAAGAATAACTAAGTCGCCCTTTAGAAGTGTGAAAAAAAAGAAGTTTTTCAAAAAAAAAAAAGATGTAACTCTCGTAGGCTTGAACCTGCGTTCGTCAACGCATTGAGGATATCGATAAAGCCAAAAAAGCGAATTAAATGATACAAAAAGTTCTGAACCGGCCAATAAATAAAGCGCAGATCGATTTTCATAAAAAAAATACTAACTCGGCATTTAGAAGTGTGAAAAAAAGAAGTTTTTTAAAAGAAAAAGAAAGGTAGGCTTTAGCCTGCGATCGTCAACGCGTTAAGGATATCGATAAAACCAAGAAAGCGAATTAAACGGTACAAACAATTCTGAACCGGCCCAAAAATTAGGCGCAATTGGTCATTCATAAAAAAATACTAATTCACCATTTAAAATTGTGAACAAAAGAGTCTTTCAAGAATTAGGCTTGAAACTGCGATCAACAACGCATTAAGGGTATCGATAAAGCCAAAAAAGCGAATTAAATGGCCAAAAAAATAAAAAAAAAATGCGCCAATTAGACTTTATATAAAAAATACTAACTCGCCGTTTAGAAAAAAAACAAAAAAAAATTCACTTTGGTAGGCTTGAACCTGGGACGCGATAAACCGGCTTACCAACGAAGCGGTTAATAAAAGTAATATCTCGTTATTTATCAATATTATATCATTTTGATCTGTAAGGCTTGGCGTTTCCTCTCTAGACCGGAGAGAAAAAGTCATCGCCGCGCGCGAGCGGCTCATCGTCCGGTAGCGACGTGTGGCTGACCGCCTCCAGAGTGTCGTCCCTGAAAGGCTCCGGGACTTCGACTCCGGTGGACTATTATCCCGATCACAGACGGCCAGGCAGCGCACCCACCAACGAGGTATCTGAGGACGTTATGGTAGCGCAGCAGAGGTCGATGTCGTTGCCCAAGTCGTTTTTGTCGACCGGCGGCGGCGCGGAGGCGGTCGCGGGGCACGACGGCGGCGTCGTTTATTGTTTGGGGTAAGTAGGATTTTTCAAAAAATATTGCTCTCTTAATATGTTAAAAAAATTATGTTTTATCGAAAAAAAAATGTTTTTTGCACTCGGGTTTGAACCGGCGACGTGTGAAGAGACGATTTTGGATTTTTTACGTTATTGTTTTTATTTCTTAAAAAGGCTAAAAATGAGTCAGAAATGTGGACAAAAAAAGTCAGTTGGTCTGGTCTGCGAATGCAGTGAGATTTTTAATGCACAAATAAAACATTTGGCTAGAATTGAAATCGAATAAGATTTTTTCAGGACCTTATTAAAAAGTACCTTCTAAAAGGGCGGGGACGTCAAGAAAAAACGAAAATTTTGATTCACTTTAAGATTTCATCATGACTGTGTTTATTTCTCAAAAAGGCTAGCTATAGCTATAGCCCATCGAATATGATAAGAAAATTGATGCAACACACTACGTATTTTAACTATTTCTCAAATGGAATTTTGTAGAACAATATCAAAAAGTAATTGCTAAAACGGCATGAAACTTAAAAAAAGATCACGGCAAAGGAAGTTTTATTGACAATTTCTCAAAAAAAGCTAAACAGTGTGCTTAAATTGCGACAAAAAATACGGTCGCAACTGGGAGGAATATTTGAAAAATTAAAGCCCAGGTAAATCGTGAAAATACAATAATTAACTTAACGAATAAAGGTCCCCGCCCGAAATCGAACTCGCGTTTTCTGTTCCTGCGAATTAATTCCCTCTCTCGGGCGTCTCAAACAGAAAAGAAAGTGCAAGACGGGCGAACTGAGAATTAAGCGCGCGACGCGGCAACGTCGCTCGCACGAAACCGCGTGCTCGTCGTTTCCGTCCTTGTCTCGCCCGTTGACGACTCCGGCGTTTCCGACGATCAACATCGAAGGCGGCTGCGAAAGCAGACGTCAGCCTCGCGTTTGTCGGTAGCGGTTGTATTTCGGTCGCGCAAAATGGCGTAGTGTCGTATCGGCCGTTCTTTGTTTTTGTTGGTTTTGTTTGTCGTCGCGCGACGACGTTTTCAATGGAAACGGCATACCGGGTTCCCGTTTCGTCGGTCCCGGCCGACTCGATTCCCCCGCTGGATCGGCCAGACGCGCTCCTTCGGCGGTCGTCGTCATGGAAACGGGGCGGCCATGACACCACGTTCGGCGGCGCACGATCTTTTTCCCTGTAAGTCATCTAGCCGTTTGTTTTTGCGTGTACGGGGAATTTTAAGGTTATAATTTTCGTTTTGTCGATTAAATGCGTGAAGCTGCTTTCCGGGACGAAACTGATAGTCTAAGATCCGTAAATCAGCCTTCTCCGAGCTGAATTTAGTATATTAGAAAATATATGAGGAATGGGTTGCCTATAAAAATCCTGGACAGACTTTAAAATCTAAAAAAAAGATTTTTTATTTGATTTTGCGACTTAAAGGTAATTAGTGGAAGAGAGGGTAAACATGACAATTAAATTTTAATTTGAAAATGTATAATATAGTTATTTATTATTATTGAATAATCATTAAGTATTTTTGATCACGAAATGTGATATGTGTGTTCGCATCTGAAACTAAAAAATATCCCGAGTACGAGTAAGATTATTAAAAATAATAAAATAAAACTTAATATTAATGAACTGAGTTTATGCGATGATCGTGCAATGGATGCTAAGGGCGGAGACGCACGAAGTGTCCTGTAGCAAATAACCACAACGGCATTGAGGGACAGCAACACGCGACAGTGCGATAAACTAGATTGCTTGCGAAAAATCGTCGCTGGGCAGGCCAAGTTCGTAGCACGTAGCGCGCGTATTTCAAAAAGAAGCCGCTTTGCGTTTTTTTCTGAAACCATGCAGTGCGCCTTTACAATCAATGACGTCATCGCGTCTTAACTGAACCCGAGGATAAGTGATTTTCATATGGATTTTTTGAAATATTGTTTATAATTAGAAAAACCCTGTATATAATCGAAAAAATGTCTGAAATTAATGTTTTAGCACTGGATCTCCCGCGTCTGCTGGCTTTCCTGGAAGCCCAAATAACCCAAAAAAAAATTTTTTTTTAAATACTTGGTGAAATTTGATTGCAACTAATTTCCTCTGCTTAAATGTAGGCATGGACTTTTACTTGTCTGCTAAATTTGAAGTAGATATCTGCCAATTTAGGTCACTTTCTTATATAGCACGAAATATCAGGAACACACTTTACAATAGGTGAAATCCTTAAATACAAAAGTTTTAGTTCTCTATACGGGGTATATCGTCTTGTAAAAGAAGCTAACATCTGAATATCTTTTAGTTTTAGCCGATTTTCACTATTAGGGGGACCCATTTTTCAGTTTTTTGAAAACATTTTTGAAAACTTTTTTGTTGGACCCTTGCAAACGTGATTTTTTAATTTTTTTAAAATACTTTCCTACCTCCCATTTTGAATAGGTTCCGTTGGGGGACCAAGCGCTATTTGCCTGCCGAATTTGAAGACGATGGCTTCAAATTTCGGACACGCGTGTTTTATGGGAATGTCCAAAAAACCGTCAAAAATAAAAAAAAAGATGGACGCCGAAGCTTTACCGCAGCCATTTTAACATAGCTTATGTACCCCGTGGACTGTCAAAAAAGAGCAAAATTTGAAATATATAGCATAAACCGTTCGAAAGTTATTGTTGAAAAATTCTGGAACAGAGAACGGACAGACGAAAAAAAAATTTAATTTAAGATTTTATTTTCAAAAAGAAGCCAATTCGGCGATTTTGCCATTGAGAGACGCATTGCTTTTCTATCGTGCTCGTGCGGACCACTATGGAACGTTCGCAAAATCGATGTAATTTAATTGTGCATGCACCCCGTATAAAGTGTCTTTCATGTCCCGTCGAACTTTAAAATTACGGCAAACTTTGTTAAATATTAAAATTTGTACAAATAATAGCGTTTTCGAAAAATATTTTTTCGAATATCTCGCGCGCCCTGTATAATTGACTAAACCTGAAACTCTCTCTCGACACAGTTTACGATACTGTTTAAATCAAATTATCGCATCTTTAGCAGTTTTTGCATTTATCGCCAACCCACAAAAACGGAAATTTTAAGGAACTTTTAGATTTTCCGCCAATAATCGGCACACCCTGTATATAATTCAAACAATGTTGGAAGATATTTGACCATAATTGAAAAACCCTGTATACAATCGAAAGAATGTCTGAAATAAAAGTCATATCCACGGATCTCCCGCATTTCCTGGTTCTAAAATTTTGAATATAGCACGGAATATCCCAACACCCTGTACGGTATATGAAAACTTTAAATACATAAGTTTTAGGTATCCATACGGGCTATATAGCTATGTAAAAAAAACTGGCAACAGAATCACATCCTTCTTGTTGTGGTCAATTATGATTAGAAAGGGAGGCGAATTTTCAGTTTTTTGCAAATTACCAACACACCCTGTACATTTAGAAAAAATTATCAAGAATAAAGGTGTTTGGTCCGGATCTTGCGTGTCGTTTGGTTTACCGTATATACCGTCTTGGGGAAATGATTTCTTTCTCGACACTCTTCAAGTGCGGTTTTTAATTAAAAAAAAAAATACTTCTCGACCCCCAGCCTATTGAAACTGGGGGGTTTCAATAGGCTTCGTTACGGAGCTAAACCCTATCTATGTGTCAAATTTCAAGTGGATGTAAGTAAAAAAAAAACAGAAGAAAATCTAAAAAAAAGATGGACGCCGTGGTTTGAGCGGACCCATCAAGGTATTTGGCAGTGTATTGTTTTCGGAGAGACCCTTATACAGAATAGAATTTGTCATTTGGTTAGAGCAATACCCATCTACTAAAATAAAATCATTGCGGTTTTTCGTATAGCACCTATGCACGCTGTTAATAAAAGTATTTGCATTATAAATAATTCCTTGTTTAACTGTCATGAGATTAACAACATTTGACATTAGATTTACGGGAGTGTATTTGTTACACTTTAAGATCGATCTTAATGCTCTATCCCTCAAAATTTGAGATTGGTGAGGTGCCGCAATGCTGTTATATAAAAGGTATTTGGTGTACATGGAAAGAGCCTATTCTACATATAAATCCTACTTTTTTGATAATTTTCTCATGACATGACTCCAAGGTACTTAATTTTATTTTCTTACTTATTTTATTCATTATTTATTTCAATTTTTTTTTTCAAAAAATACAAAATTTAGACTTTAACGTGTTAATATTAAGTTTAGTTAATTAATTAGTATTAAGTGTTTATATAACCATTTATATATTCGGTTCAAATCACTGTTAATACTACGTTTCATCTGATCTATGCCACTACCAACCATATATAACATTGTATCACCTGCGAATAATTCGATTTTGCTATCGTTAATTACTTTAACTATATCATTAATATACAATAGGAATAATAGAGACCCCAGTACAGTTCCTTGCGGCACTCCGTACATTGTATCGACACTATTTTTAAATCTGACTTTTTGGGTTCTGTTATATAAATAAGATCTGAACCAATTTAAAACTGAGCCTCGTATGCCCAGCTTTTCCAGCTTTCAGGAAATTGTCACATATATTAACTATCACAGACTCACCCAGAATGCAATATTTTTTCATAAACCGCAACAGTGTTTATCGGTCTAAATTATCGATGCTGATTTGTGCCTTAAACCTCTGGAACTGGAATCACAGTTGATGTCTTCCACTCGTGCGGAAATACTCCGCTAGAAAGTGAAGTATTTATAATGTCCAAAAGACGGTTGCCTATTACACTGAAGACATCTCTGAGTGTCTCAGTCGAGATTCCACTCGTCCCACCACCTACATTTTACATACTAGAAACATATTCTTTTTACATTAGACAATAAAATAATCTGAAGGCGTACGTTGTGGTATTTTATTATTATTTTTTAATTGCCCCCAAAAAAAAACATCACAAGGAAACTACTAAAAAAAAACAAATAATGGGTGTGTTTTTTCGATGTATAGAACTTTAAGTTGGCATTACTGTTCAAGATGGCGACC